TAAAATTCATAATCATTCTATTTATGCAATTCCTAAAAGTGATTATTTTGCCACATGTTGTTGCTAATGCTTTTTCTAAGCAAAAAAATGATCTTTTCTTAATCCGAATAAAACAGATATTTTGGCAATGAGATAATCACCTTAAACAGAAAAACTTGGCACATTTTAATATGCCTTATGTTGACAAAATATGATTTATGATTTATATCTATATAATTTTTTGCTGTCCCCTACAAAGGTAACATTTACTTCAAATCTGAGTAATTTATAAGTAAATTTGTGATGTTATAAAATATGGATTTCTATTATGTCAAGGCATGGTTACAACTACAACTGAAGAGAAGTTCCTTATGGGTGAAAATAATGATAATGACCATTTTACGGAGCAGGTACTATATGCAAGGTACCATGTGTACCATGTGTATAAATACATTATCTCATTTAATCTTTTTTTTTTTTTTTTTTTTTTGAGACAGAGTCTCACATTGTTGCCCAGGCTAGAGTGAGTGCCATGGCATCAGCCTAGCTCACAGCAACCTCAATCTCCTGGGCTCAAGCGATCCTACTACCTCAGCCTCTCGAGTAGCTGGGACTACAGGCATGTGCCACTATGCCCAGCTAATTTTTTGTATATATATTTTTAGTTGGTCAATTAATTCTTTCTATTTATAGTAGAGACGGGATCTCGCTCAGGCTGGTTCGAACACCTGACTCAAGCAACCGCCTGCCTCGCCTCGCAGAGTGCTAGGATTACAGGCATGAGCCACCACGCCTGACCTGTCTCATTTAATCTTTATAACAACTTTGTGAGATGAGTGCTGTTATTTTTATCATTTTAGAGATATGGGTACAATTTTTTTTAAGTTGCATAATTTCCCTAAATCAAATGCCTAGTAATGGCAGAGGTCTAACTCCAATGCCTGTACTGTATTATGACACAACGACCCTGGAGCCTGATACCGAAAGTTATGCTGGCCATGAGTGTTGAATTTTGGCTGAAGAGAGAGAGGAGAGTCCTTGGGAGTTAGCTTGTAAGTTCACTTGGTTCTTTATCCTTAGATGTTGACCTCGTGATTCCAGTGGTTTACTCTCCACCTTATGCATTTAAGATAACATTAATGTATCCTATTTTGGCATGCCATTTAAAATTTATCTTAGCTCTTAAAAATATTTATAATGGGAATTGATTAATGGGTGTCAATTTTCAGATTTGCAGATGAAACGTTCTGAAGATGTTTTATGCACAACAAAATGCTTAACACTACTGAACTGTACAGTTAAAATGGTTAGATGGTAAATTTTATGTTATGTATATTTTGCCATTGTTAAAACATTTTAAAAAGGAAAAAGAAAAAAAAAAATAGAGCTTCTTCATTAGTTTATTTCAAATATTGACCACCTACTACTTTTCCAAAGGATTTTCTTACTAAAACATAATTTATAATACTAGGCAACCAGCAATAACGTTTCCTAATTGTAATGCTTGTTTGACTGAAGATTGAAACACTTAAGAAATGTTTAAGAAAATGAAAGGTCCTATATCTGATCCTTCATCTTCAGTATGTCTTGGGTTCCTGGAGTTGGGGAGAAATAGGTCTGAAAGAAAGAGATAAAGATTAAAGAAAATTCCCCATGGAATGGGGAATTAGATGAGTTACTATTAACCTAGTGCTTTCAACAGTGCCTAGCACATTGTGTTTATATATGCTTGAGTAAAAATACTCTATAATAAGAATCCATCCATCATTGAAAAATAATGAATCACTTTATAACAAATCACTTTACATTATTAGGTTAATTATACAATTAAGCTAATAAAACACTTTTTGTTGTGAGTTTTAATGCAGAGAGGTGGAGAGGAAATTAATGAATGGAGTGATTTAAGAAGGGAGTGTACAGGAGGATAAACAGGGCTGGCTGAGATGCCAAAAAGAAGGCTGGAAAGACCACAAGAGACAGCACAGTTGGAAAGGGAAAAATGGACCCGGATGTCTCTGAAGGACAAAGGAAGTGAAGTTCAATTCTTTCTTCTCGCTTTCCTCGAGGTTCTTACTGTTGGGCCCAGCTGGATACTATGATACCTGAATTAGGATATCAAAATTATATTCTTTAAATTTACATTTAAAGAATTGAGGTGAAATGCACAAGACATAAAACCCATCATTTTTAAGTGAACATTCAGAGGCATTTAGGGTATTCACATGTTGCGGAACTACCACCTCTAAGCTAGTTCTAAAACATTTCCACTAATCCAAAATGCTGCACCCATTTATGTTACTTTCTAATGCATGTTTTATTTTCAGTATAGAAATTCCTTGCATGATTTATTGCAATCAAATGTTAATCTCACTCTAAAATAAGTTTTCTGTTTTCTTGTTTCATCTCTGCTACTTTTAATTAAGAATTACATTTTTTTTGTTTTGAGACAGAGTCTCACTTTGTTGCCCAGGCTAGAGTGAGTGCCGTGGCTCCAGCCTAGTCACAGCAACCTCAGACTCCTGGGCTCAAGCGATCCTGCGCCTCAGCCTCCCAAGTAGCTGGATACAGCATGCGCACCGTACCCGCTAATTTCTCTGTATATGTTAGTTGGCCAATTTATTCTTTCTATTTATAGTAAGAGATGGGGTCTCACTCTTGCTCAGGCTGGGTTTGAACTCCTGACCTCGAGCAATCCGCCCGCCTCGGCCTCCCAGAGTGCTAGGATTACAGGCGTGAGCCACCGCGCCCGGCCAAGAATTACATTTTAATCATATTTTATATGTGCCCCCGTCATTCCAGCTTGGCTCTTCATAAAGTATAAATTTATTTCTGTCTCTTCCACATTTTAGTTTTAGGATATTTTGTGCAGTAACTTAATTTTACTTAAGGTCTATAATATTTTATGATTTGCTATCATGCACAGTATGTGTCGTTCACCCAATTGGTAGTTGAGTCGATGAAAGTATAAATGACTATATAAAAAGGGTAGTTGAGTCAGAAACATAGTTTCTGGATGGATGGATGGATAGATGGATGGGCAGAACAAGAACTCACGAAGAAGACAGAATGGAGCACCAGGATCAGAAAGAAAAGAAAGACTAAGAGAGAATTATGTCATGGAATACAAGGGAGTCAACGGTCACAAGTCATGGAGAAGTTAGATAAGATAAAGACTGAAGGCGGGTGTGGTGGCTCAGGCCTGTAATCCCAGCACTCTGGGAGGCTGAGGCGAGAGGATCGCTTGAGCTCAGGAGTTTGAGACCAGCTTGAGCAAGAGTGAGATCCCACCTCTACTAAAATAGAAAGAAATTTGTCCAGGCAACTAAAAATATAAAAAAATTAGCCAGGTGTAGTGGCATACACCTGTAGTCCCAGCTACTTGGGAAACTGAGGCAGGAGGATAGCTTGAGCCCAGGAGTTTGAGGTTGCTGTGAGCTAAGCTGATGCCACTGCGCTCTACCAGGCAACAGAACAAGACTCAGTCTCAAAAAAAACCCGTAAAGACTGAAAACTGTCCATTGGATATGGCAACAGACAGGTCATTTTTGCCTTAGTGAAAACAGTCAGTAGACCATGGGAAGACAGGACAGATGGTAGATGATCAGAGAAAAGGCATTTCTAGTTAATTGTAGAAATATATATTTTAGAAATAACCTTCTTTAGAATTTAAAATAGACTTAATTTGGTCTTAGATTATTTCATGTATGATTTTTTGGATCAATAATAAAGGACAGCAGTTGGCTTGTTTTGCCTAAATTGTTAAGATGACCAACAATAATGCTTTGCATTATTCTGATTTTGAAACAATGCTAATCCGATATTGCATAATTACAACACCTTCCCAAAAGACTTGCTTGCCTTCAGGAACTCCTCTTAGCATCACTTTGATCTGACCCCATTTACTGGACTTTTCTCGTTAAGATACAACAAGGAATGGGCTCATTTATTCAAAAAATATTTATCGTGTCTTGCTTTATGCCAGGCACTGTTCTGGGTGTTTGAGCTATATCAGAGAATAAAACAGACAACAGTCTTGCCCTTGTAGTATTTATATTTTTGAGATATATACCTGTAGGAAATTATTTAAATTATTTTTAAACATGGTCCTTAAACTGGACTATAGAATGACATCCATAAAGTGAAATAATACAAAGTGATATATATCAAAGATTGAATTAGAAAGTTTTTAATTCCTAGTTCTACTACTTTCTTGTTTAACTCTTCTTAATTCCTACCACACCAGGTCATTTTGAATATTGAATTTTATCAGATAAAAACAAATATGTGAAGGCATTTTTTAAAATGAAAATTTCTGTATTGATTTACAGGAATGATGATGATATTAACAGTAGCAATAGCAGCAGCAGCTGCATGTAACTATCAGATCACAATAGCCACTAGCAGCTGTCATTTGTTTCAATCTATAGACCAACCCTAGAAAATAATTGAAATATTTTTTTGAGGAAAAAAATAAAGACAGTATGCTTACATTTTTCATCATAATTTTATATGCAGTTTATATACATTATCTATTATATATACATTTCATCATCAAAAGTATGTAAAATAACTCATTTTTATAAGACATAGGGGGATAGTCAAGGATAAATTTATAAAGCTATTTACACCCTTGAATAAGGCTCTAAAAATAATTAGCTTTTACTTAGGGACAATACCCTATGACACTAGATTGCATATTAAGCTGGATTAAGGATGTAAATTCTTGCTTAATGAGTGGACTAGTGAGAGTACATTGTCTGGGGTAGGGCTTAAAGAGGTAAATTCATGGGTTGTGCCTTGAGAAATGCTTAAAAGCCAAAACCACAATACAGAAAATAAAAGAGACATGTATGGTTTGGTTTGATTTTTCCTACTTTGATACTTTAAAACTTATGTGTTACAAATTATATAAAACTGTCACCAAACGTTAGGCCAGTTTTCTTGCATATTGCATCCCATTCAAACATTTGAAAATGGACTTTTATACCATTTTAATTATCCTGTCTTTTTTAATCTTTCAGATCATAAGGCTTGTGGATTCTCTGCCCCAAAAGACAAAGTAGTCAAAGCAACAGAGTACCAAGGTACAGTATCTTACTGATTTTCACAGGCTGTATTGTTTAAATAAGTCATAAAGATGATATGTATGGTATTATCTTTCTACTTGTCTAGATCCTGTGCCTCACCTTACATGAATTCCTTTGGCTGAAATGCTGCTTCATGCTGTTCCCGCCTCTTTCTTTCCCTCCTCAGTGGAAATTTTGGACATTCAGTACGAGACTGGATGTACAATGAAGGTCACTTATTGCATAAATTAGCTGCAACAAAGCAAACCTAATTTGCAAAACTGGGAGTTGGAAATCTTGCAAAGTTTCTAGCCAGCCAGATTTGGTAAATGGAAATTGACACTTTAAATTCCACTCTATGCATTTAAGATAACATTAATGTATCCTATTTTGGCATGCCATTTTAAAATTTATCTTAGCTTCTTAAAAATATTTATAATGGGGAATTGATTAATGGGTGTCAATTTTCAGATTTGCAAGATGACAACGTTCTGAAGATTGTTTTAGGCACAACAAAATGCTTAACACTACTGAACTGTACAGTTCAAATGGTTAAGATGGTAAATTTTATGTTATGTATATTTTGCCATTGTTAAAACATTTTAAAAAGGAAAAAGAACAAAAAAAAATAGAGCTTTTCATTAGTTTATTTCAAATATTGACCACCTACTACTTTTCCAAAGGATGTTTTACCTAAAACATAATTAATAATACTAGGCAACCAGCAATAACTGTTTCCTAATTGTAATGCTTGTTTGACCGGAGATTATAAACATTTAAGAAATGTTTAAGAAATGAAAGGTCCTAAATATCTGATCCTTCATCTTCAGGTATGTCTTGGGTTCCTGGAGTTGGAGAGAAATAGGTCTGAAAGAAAGAGATAAAGATTAAAGAAAATTCCCCCCACTGGAATGGGGTGAATTAGATGAGTTACTATTAACCTAGTGCTTTCAACAGTGCCTAGCACATTGTGTTATATATGCTTGAGTAAAAATACTCTATAATAAGAATCCATCCATCATTGAAAAATAATGAATCACTTAATAACAAATCACTTTAATTATTTAGGTTAATTATACAATTAAGCTAATAAAACACTTTTTGTTGTGAGTTTTAATGCAGAGAGGTGGAGAGGAAATTAATGAATGGGAGTGATTTAAGACTAGGGAGTGCTTACAGGGAGGATAAACAGGGCTGGCTGAGATGCCAAAAAGAAGGCTGGAAAGACCACAAGAGACAGCACAGTTGGAAAGGGAAAAATGGACCCGGATGTCTCTGAAGGACAAAGGAAGTGAAGTTCAATTCTTTCTTCTCGCTTTCCTCGAGGTTCTTACTGTTGGGCCCAGCTGGATACTATGATACCTGAATTAGGATATCAAAATTATATTCTTTAAATTTACATTTAAAGAATTGAGGTGAAATGCACAAGACATAAAACCCATCATTTTTAAGTGAACAATTCAGAGGCATTTAGGATATTCACATGTTGCGGAACTACCACCTCTAAGCTAGTTCTAAAACATTTCCACTAATCCAAAATGCTGCACCCATTTATGTTACTTTCTAATGCATGTTTTATTTTCAGTATAGAAATTCCTTGCATGATTTATTGCAATCAAATGTTAATCTCACTCTAAAATAAGTTTTCTGTTTTCTTGTTTCATCTCTGCTACTTTTAATTAAGAATTACATTTTTTTTGTTTTGAGACAGAGTCTCACTTTGTTGCCCAGGCTAGAGTGAGTGCCGTGGCTCCAGCCTAGCTCACAGCAACCTCAGACTCCTGGGCTCAAGCGATCCTGCTGCCTCAGCCTCCCAAGTAGCTGGGACTACAGGCATGCGCCACCGTACCCGGCTAATTTTCTCTGTATATGTTAGTTGGCCATTTATTTCTTTTTATTTATAGTAAGATGGGGTCTCACTCTTGCTCAGGCTGGTGTTTGAACTCCTGATCCCGAGCAATCCGCCCGCCTCGGCCTCCAGAGTGCTAGGATTACAGCGTGAGCCACTGCGCCCGGCAAGAATTACATTTTAATCATGTTTATATATGTGCCCCGTCATTCCAGCTGGCTCTTCAATAAAGTATAAATTTATTCTGTCTCTTCCACATTTAGTTTTAGGATATTTTTGCAGTAACTTAATTTTACTTAAGGTCTATAATATTTTATGATTTGTATATGCACGTATGTGTGTTCCACCCAATTTATTCATTCATTATCTCTTATTTCTCTGATATCAAGTAATTATGATTTATTCCTTCTTTCAGTGCTGCTATTCTACATCACTTCCCATTATGATGCCAAAGCAGACGACGCTGAAATCAGGCAGCTCTGCCAGGCTTGTAAATTACATGAGCAGCCTTCTGCAGAGACAGTCCAACCCTGAAAGCTATAAATCAGAGTTTAATAATGTGTTTTTCCACAGAAGTAATTTCTGCCAATTCAGAACTACTTTGTAGTATCAATTCTCTTTCTGTGTATATAAGATTTAGATTATTTTTAACTGAGCACAGAGAAATAAAATCAAAAGATAGTCCACAGTACAGAATCCTAGAAATTAAAATTCATCAATCATTCTATTTATGCAATCCCTAAAAGTGATTATTTTGCACACTGTTGTTGCTAATGCTTTTTCTAAGCAAAAAAATGATCTTTTCTTAATCCGAATAAAACAGATATTTGGCAATGAGATAATCACCTTAAACAGAAAAACTTGGCACATTTAATATGCCTTATGTTGACAAAATATGATTTATATCTATATAATTTTTTGCTGTCCCCTGCAAAGGTAACATTTACTTCAAATCATATTATAAAGTATTTGTGATGTTATAAAATATGGATTTCTTTTATGTCAAGGCATGGTTACAACTACAACTGAAGAGAAGTTCCTTATGGGTGAAATAATGATAATGACCATTTTACGAGCAAGGTACTATATGCAAGGTACCATGTGTATAATCATTATCTCATTTAATCTTTTTTTTTTTTTTTTTTTGAGACAGAGTCTCACATTGTTGCCCAGGCTAGAGTGAGTGCCATGGCATCAGCCTAGCTCACAGCAACCTCAATCTCCTGGGCTCAAGCGATCCTACTACCTCCAGCCTCTGAGTAGCTGGGACTACAGCATGCGCCACTATGCCCGGCTAATGTTGTATATATATTTTAGTTGGTCAATTAATTTCTTTCTATTTATAGTAGAGACGGGATCTCGCTCAGGCTGGTTTCGAACACCTGACCTCAAGCAATCCGCCTGCCTCAGCCTCGCAGAGTGCTAGGATTACAGGCGTGAGCCACCAGGCCTGACCTATCTCATTTAATCTTTATAACAACTTTGTGAGATGCGTGCTGTTATTTTTATCATTTTAGAGATATGGGTACAATTTTTTTAAAGTTGCATAATTTTCCCTAAATCAAATGCCTAGTATATGGCAGAGGTCTAATTCCAATGCCTATACTGTATTATGACACAATGACCCTGGAGCCTGATACCGAAAGTTATGCTGGCCATGAGTGTTGAATTTTGGCTGAAGAGAGAGAGGAGAGTCCTTGGGAGTTAGCTTGTAAGTTCACTTGGTTCTTTATCCTTAGATGTTGACCTCGTGATTCCAGTGTGTTTACTCTCTGGATTTGTTTCTTAGGGCTGCCATAACAAAATACTGTAAACTAGGTGGATTAAAACAACATAAATTTAATCTCTCATGGTTCTGGAGGCTAGAAGTTCGAGATCAAGGTGTTGGTCCCTACGGCCTAGGCTGGCCCTTTCCTTGTTTGGGACCCTCTTTCTCAAAGAACCGCATGGCAAGTTCCCTTCCTCTTTTAAATCTTGCTCAAATTTCACTTTCTAAATGAGTGAGCTCTGACTTCCCTGTTTTTTAAAATTGTAGCACTGTCCCCAGCAGTCCCAAACTCCCTGTGCTGCTTCTGTCTCTATGACCCTAATGTACTACGCAATTCACTTCATGGTATTTCTTGTTTGCCTGACTTCCCTGCCAGATTATACATCCCCAAAGGGCAAGGATCTTTGTGTTGTTCACTGATACACCTCAAGAACAATGCCAGGCACACAGTCAGTACTCAACATATTTTGGACAAATGGGACAGACCGATTCTCCACATTCTACATAGTCAGAGAGAGAGAGGCTGGAGTGAGGTCACTGGACTTAGGAAAATCATTGGTTATACTTCCTAAAATAATTTCCACTGAGGTTTTTCCATAGCACAGTGAGGACAGAAATTAGGAAGAATTCACTGAGGGTGTGTGTGTGTGTCTAGTTAAAAATATTTATGAAATAATATGGTTGAGTGTAAAGTTATTCCTGAGACGTAGGAGTAAGACATGGAAAATGGGCTAAAAATGAGTGTGGGCGTGTGTTTAATTGTTGGAAACTCACAAAATACGGGAAGGAAACCTATCTACAACTCAAGACTCCGGAAGGTCACCACCCATTCTCCTTAATCAACAGAACAGAGCTGTGTTTCCTCAGACAGGTCTTTTAGCACACACATTTGTCCTTCTACCATAGTTGTAAACACATCTGTAAAATGGTGTATCTTTGTAACGTAAAACCTGCTTTAAAAACTTTAGGCATCCTCGAAAATAACTTTTGCTTCTTTCCTTCTTTGCCTTTCTTTTGTGTGCCCTGCTTTCTGTTTTCTGTTACCTTTTATTCCATTCCTGTATTTCCAGCAATATATGTGAAAATACTACATCTAACAAAAAGAAAAAAAAAAGTCATCATTCAATCACACAAATTAACACTGGGTTATAATTTTTCATACATAATTCTACACGCTTTTTGTTCATGTCTATGTGTATATTTTTAATTATACCTGAAATACTATTATAAATATTGCTATCTAATCTGCTATATCATGCACTATCCTGCATTCTTTTTTTTAACAATCCTTTGCTTAACATCAAAATCTGAGGTATGGAAAGGATTTTAACATAATTTCTGGTCAAAGAATCTGTGCTTTTTAAAGGTCAAACCATATGCTTTGTGGGGGAAAAATGTCTCAGAAATATGATATTTACATTCTAGAGAGCCTGGTTAAAAAATATCTTAAAAATATTTATAACTGTAAATTGCCACTTGACAACTTACAGCAACTCCCAGACTGGCACTGGTTTTTCTTCCCATTAGTCATTTTGTTTGGACAGTGAAAAGAAGGGGGTTCCTTTGGAGGTTCCAGGAATTCTTTAATGACACAATTACAGTAAATTTCCTGTAATAAAGGAATTTAGCTACAGTGAGACAGATAAACTTGATGCCAAGATTTAAATCTGTAATAATTTATCTGGTTAAAGTGAGGTTATAAGCAGTTGTTTTGGGGTAGAAATCAACAGTTTATTAGAAGACCCTATTGGCTTTGTATCAATGTATTTGTAGATAGGGCTAACTAAGAAGGGATCTGGGTGAGAATGTAGCATGTTAGGGGGAACTTCTATGGGTTTCCCCACATGGCCTGGGCTGGATGAAGTGCCTTTCTTAGGCATTCTGGACTGGTACTCATCAACATTGGGCTGAAATGACATTATCTCTCTTAGTTGCCTCTTCTACCAGACTGTAGACTCCTTAAAGACTGAGGATGCTAATAATAAGACAATCATAGCTGCCATTTGTTAAGTCCTTAGTATGTCACCTTAGCACCTGTGAGCTTTGCATATATTATTGCATTTTCTTTCTTTTCACTGACGATGGGAGGAAATATTATTGCATTTCAAGAATCACAACAACTCTGTGAGGTACTAACCCATTTTAGAGTTGGGAATTCACGCTCAATAATTAGGGAAAGCAGCATAGTGTCTGTCATACAATTATTACATGGAAGAGCTACAGTGCTTCCAGTTCATCTTTGCGTTGAACCAACATGGTATCTGTTGATATAATTTATGAATTAATGAATGAATGAAGAACTATAAAGGAGTAATTTAAGGATATTTAAAAATTTGTTACCAGATTAAGTAAAATATAAACTCATAGGGACAATTAGAAAACAAGCACTCTTTGTTTTTATTCCTAGAGATTATTTTAGCCTGTAAAACCCCAAAGAAGACCATGTCCTCCAGATTAGAGTGGAAGAAACTGGGGCGGAGTGTCTCCTTTGTCTACTATCAACAGGCTCTTCAAGGTAAGAAGCTGTAGGCTTGATGAGACAAGAGCAAGAGAATGCCAAGTACAGCCGGGATTGTTTAATTTACAAATGAGAACAGGACATGACTAATTATGGAAATGTGTTTTTGTGAGTGTGAGATGAAACCAGTCGTGTCTGAGACCTAAAACAGGACAGCCACAAAAACAGAAGACAGGGAACAGAAGTAGGTGAACCCCAATGAGTCCCTGTACCTTTCCTTTCTTAGCTCAGTGGTAGAGGATGTGAAATGCAATTGCTCTTGCTAGCTCAGTAGATTAAATTCTTGGAGGAAGAGAAGAAAAAATGGTGTGGGCTAAGATGAAAGGTTGCTGCTCCGTAATAATACCCTCAACATATTTCGTTAAGCCCCTCTTGAAAGCTAAGCCACAACTGAAAAGTTTAGGAAGTTTAAGATTTATAGACGGGTAATTACAAGGACCATTATCAACTGTTTTCTTTTTTTAATTTATTTTTTTGCCTTTTATTTGTTATACATTTCTTTCCACTCCATACTCTTGCTATTGAATATGTGATGAGCTTTTAATTTAAAATGTTGATAATGATGGATGAAATGTTATGCTGCCCATTTGTCTCAAACTAATCCAATGGTTAAGGGTACAGATGAAATAAGATAGGCCATGCATTGATTGTTGTTCACAGCTGAGTGATGGCAAGTTGAGGTTCATTTTACTCTCTAATTTTTTGTATGCTTGATTTTTTTCCATTATAAATATTTTTAAAGTTGGAAATACAATTTTACAGGTATAATAAACATGCTATTATTTTAAAATATTTAATATATTTTAAGATATTTATTACTTTAATTTTAAAGAATTAAGCAAAAAATATTTTTTTAACTTGAGGGATGATAATATTTTACTGGAAATAAATAATGACTTAAAAGAGTATGATTGGGAAGCATAGGCCTTATTTTTGTTTTCTGATTTTAATACATATTATAAGCAGCCACATGTACCACCAGCAAATTGGTATTAACAGATCAACACCTAAGTGGACATATAGGAGTAACATTTATTGGGTGTCAGGAGGGTGGGAGGGGTATATACAACCACAACGAGTAAGATGTGCAAAATGAGACTCTGTCTCAAAAAAAAAAAAAGAACAGTAAGAAAAATTTTTTAAA